TGTTGCCAGGAGGGACCAGTCCCTGGAGAAGTGTGGAATGGTGGAGGGATAGCTCAAGAGAGGAAAACCCGGAATGAGATGCACAGATTCAGTGACTGGGGTAGTAAGGGTAGGTGTGTTGGAGACAATGAACTTGGCTCAAGATAGAGAAAGATTCAGAGCTGCTGTACATAGAGTTGCTATGAGTTGCAAACGACTCAAAGTGACATAACAGCAACACTGTAGATGATACAATATTGTTTGTGGAAAATGAAGAGAACTTGAAGTACTTCTCTTTTTAGATCAGTATGGATTATACTTCAACATAAAGAATAATATTCACAATTTGATCAATAATATACATTGTGACAAATGGGGGGGGAAATTAGGTTGTCAAGGATTTTATTTTAATTAGATTCACAATCAGTGCCCATGGAAGCAGAAGTAAAAAAAATCTAATAAAGACATATTGCAATGGGCAAGTCTTGTAAAAGATCTCTTTAAAAAGCTAAAACCTACAACAACAAAAAAAGAAACACAAGGACCTAGGACTAAAATCAAGGACTATAAACGTCATTAAAGAAAATCTTGGAAGAACTGTAGAAGCACTAATCCACAGCATAAACAGTCTTCCAAGCATCCTGAAAAACCTACAACCAGGAGAGGATAAATAGATGAACGGGACCTTCTAAGAATCAAATCCCTATGCACATCCAAAACCTTCTCAAACAGGGTAAGAAGGGAAGCCACAGACTGGGGGAAAATATTTGGTAATGGCATGTCTGATAAGGGACTTATACCTAGAATTTACAGAATACTAGAGCACCACAAGAAGATCAAGGGAAAAAAACCCAATTGCAAAATGGGCACAGGATATGAACAGACCAACAAAAAACACATTCAGATGGCAAACAAACACATGAAGAAATATTCAAAATCCCTAACTCTAAGAGAGATGCAAATCAAAACAACTATATCTCACCCCCCGTAAGAATAGCAAAATTCAGCCAAGCTAGCAAACAACAAAGGCTGTTGTAAAGAAACTGGAACCCTTATTCACTGTTGGTGGGAGTGTAAAATGGTGCAACCACTATGGAAGGCAGTACGGCACTTTCTCAAAAAATTGTAAATAAAAATACCATTTGACCCAGCAATTCCACTACTGGGAATATACCCTAAAGAAACCACAACTGCCACCCAAGCAGATATATGCACATTCATGTTTCCTGCTGCTTTGTTCACAATAGCAAGTTTGAAACAACCCAAGTGCCCATCAACAAATGAATGGATAGAGAACTGTGATATATTCACATAATGGAATGCTATGCTGCCTTGAAAAATAAGTAACTCATGAGATATTACACAAAATGGATGACTCTGGAGGACATTATGCTGAGTGAAATATCTCAGTCATAAAAGGACAAATATTGCATAGTGTCACTCGTGTGAAATGGGACAGACATCGGGATTGGGGGAATTTAAGAAAAGAGGGGATAAGTAATGTATACTGAAGCAGATGAGGGAGAGAACTGCTTAAAAGGAATATATGATTAGGTATTATTTTTATGACAAGAATCCAGAATAAGAGCTGCATAGTAAAGTGGACTTGGGGTGGGGGGGAAGGATTGTATAACAATGAAAGAATTTTTTTTCTCTTCAAGGAGAAGAGCAAACTGAGAGGAGGGGTGGGTAGGGAGGAAAAGTGTGCAACAATGTATGAATGGAAATCCAAAGTCTCTGCAAACTTTCATTAAGATTTAAAACAACAAAAAACCAAACATTCACAAGTCCAATAAATTCGTTATTAAAAAATAAAAAGAAACACAACATATGTCATTTTGAAGATTAAAGTGCATCTGACCTAAGCTGTGATCTTTTCAATCACCTTATTTGCATACAAAAGCTTCATTGAAAGAAGAATTCATATATATGAATCATGGTATCGGGGGAGAATATTGAACGTATCATGGACAGCCAGAAGAAAAAAATAATTTTACTGAAATGAATACATCCTGAATGCATGTTAGAAGCAAGGATGGTGAGATTTTGTCTCACTTACTTTGGACATGTCATCAAGAAAGGCACATCCAAAAAAAAAAAAAAAAAAGAAAGGCACATCCTAGGAGAAGTACATTTTGTTTAGTAAAGAGTGCCAACAAATAAGAGGGAGATTCTCAACAAGATGGACTGACACAGTACAGCAGTAATGAATTCAAACACGGCAACATCTCTGAAGATGGAACAAGACTGAGCAATTGTTTCATCCTGTTGAACATGTACTCACTATTAATCAAAGCCAACTCAATGGCACCTAATACCACCACCACTATGCACCAAATTTTCAGTATTTCAAATTTTTCAGGCAAACTCTTGAATGATCCAGGAAGCATCAAAAGAAGATGGGAGAAATCAACAGTAATTTTATCAAAATGAATTGGCTGACACAGAACAATTTCAGGAAGTAGTAGATGATCTAGAACCAATCAATAATAAAGGAAGACATTTCAGCTGCTCTGAAGGCATTGACAAAAATTAAGGCCATAGGAACTGATGGAATATCAATTGATATACTTCAACAAACAGATGCAGCCCAGGACATGCTCCCGAGTTTTGCCAGAAATCTGCCTGGCCAACTGACTAGGAAAGATCCATACTTAGATCCATTAAAAAAAAAAAAATCCGGCGAGCTCTGGTGGCCTAGTGGCAAGAAGCTGCAACTGCAATCTCAGAGATGCACGGTTCGAATCCACCAGATGCTCTGCTGGAGAAGGAGGAACAATCTCCTCCTGTACCAGTCAGATCTGATTTGACGGTACACACAAAAAATAATGAAATAAAATAAAAAAAAATATTAAAAAAAAATCCATTCCAGAAAAGGTGATCCAACAGAGCGTGGCAATTATCCACCAGCATCACTAATATCACAGGTAGGCAAAATCTTGCTGAAGATTATCTTAAAACAACTAAAGCAGTACAATAGCAGAGAACTGCCAGAAGTTCAAGCTGAGTTTAGAAGAGGCTGTGGTACTAGGGTTATCATTGTTGATGTCAGATGGATCTTGGCTGAAAGCAGACAGCAACAGAAGACGTTGACTATGCAAAGACATTTGACTGTAGGGATCACAACAAATTATAGCCAACATTGATAAGAACAGGAATCTCAGAACATTTGATTGTGCTCATACAAAACCTCTACCTAGACCAAGCAGCTGTTGTCTGAACAGAACAAGGAACAGTGCATGGTTCAAAATTTAGAAAGAACTGCATCAAGAACGTATCCTTTCTTCATACCTTATCAATCTGTATGCTGGAACAGATCATTCAAGAGGCTGAACTTTATGAAGAAGAATGTGGTATCAGGATCAGAGGAAGACTCATCAATAACTTGTGTTATTCAGATGACACAACCTCGCTTGCCAAAATTGAGGCAGACTTAAAGCAGAAGATTGAGGACGGCAGCCTTCAATATGAGTTCTATTTCAATACCAAGAAACACAGATCCTCATCACCAGGCCAATCAATAGACAATACATGGAGAAAGACTGAAGTTATTAACAAAGTCATCTTTCTCAGATTCACAGTCAACACTTTTGGCATCAGCAGTCAGGAAATAAAATGATTAACTGCATTGGGAAAATCGACCATTAAGGACTTTTCACAGTGCTAAAGAGTAACAATGTCAGTCTAGAGACTAAGGTGCAACTGATTCAAGTCACGCTTTTCACAATAACTTATTCTACATCTGAGAGCTGAATAGTGAATAAGGATGACAGAAGAAGAATTTATGTCTTTGAGCTGTGATGCTGGAGAAGAGTATGGAACATACTATGGAATGCCAAGAAAACAAATAGGTCTGTCCTGGAGAGAGTGAAACAAACCAGATTGCCTGGCAAGGATTTTGAAACTCCATCTCACATATTTTAGGCATGTTGTCAGGAGGGGGCCAGTCCTTGGAGAAGGACATCATGCTTGGAAGAGTGGAAGGTCAGCATAAGAGATGACCCTGGATGACATTTCTTGACACAGTGACTGTGGCAGGGTGGTGAGTTGTGAGACATCAAATCGGCTATGACTCATGGCTACCCTCTGAACAATAGCTCTGCCTCACAGTTCTTAGATATCTAGCAAGCAACTGAGAAGACCATGGGTTTGCACTAGGAAACAATTCCCAGGTAGGTCAGCCAGCGAAGAAAGTGAGGCATTGAGCTTTGAGAGTATCTAGTGGGTATGCATTGCAGAAAGCCAACATAACTGCATCAGAAATAAAGTAGAAAGTGAATAGATGAGGTGAGGTTGAGGGGAATCAAACCGTGGAGGACTATACTGATCAAATGAAAGACTTCGACTGAGCAGAGTTAGATGGAAGTCATTGGAAGAGCTGCACAGAGGATTTGCTACGGCTTTTGTTATAATTGGATCCCTAGACTGCTGTGTCCCTGAAGGACAAGCGAGGAGGCTACCGTAATAACCTAGGCAAGAGATAGTGACTCCAGAAGAAAAGAGCAGATCTGGGGGTGGAAAATTAAATTTTCAGGTTTCGACAGGTACACTGGAAAGATTTAAAAGTGAAGTCCAGGGGAAGTTTGGGCTAAGGGTTGGCACTTGGAACTCAACATCTTAGCAATAATCGAGTCATGGGGATAAAACGCTGGCTCTAAACACTAGATTAAACAGGTTCTAGATCCTCCAGGAAAATATTCCCACATAGCAGAATCTTCGTGAGGAAGAAATGAGCCTCAAAGCCTGACTGTAAGACAGGAGAGAATGTAGAGCTATGAGTCGCACATGCCTGTTCTGTCGAGGAAGGTTATAGGAACCAAACACCGAATTTCCTACCAGCAGCAAATGCTCGGAGCTTCCCGCAACACTAGAGAATAAAAGCGGCACAGCCGGCGCCGCGAAGCGATCGGTACAGCCTAAACCTCGCGAGATTTGTTAACTGGGCAAAGTCACCCTAGATCCACATCTCGCGAGACCGACGCGCGTGAGCAACTCTTGGCCGGTTAGGTTTTGCAGGAAAGATGGAATGTCCCGTGTTGGGCACCGTGGAGGCCCCGGACAGCGGAGGGGCAGGGCCATACAACATCTCGGAGCAGCGGGAGGGCCGGGAACCGGACGGGGTGCGCTTCGACCGCGAGAGGGCGCGCCGCCTGTGGGAAGCGGTGTCCGGGGCCCAACCTGTGGGGAGGGAGGAAGGTGAGTCTGGGGAACCTGAGAGGCTAAAAGCCCCTCTCCCTCCTGCTTGTGCCGCCGCTTGTCCCGCGCAGTGTGGCAGTGAGCGCCGGGTGGACAGCAGACCAGCCTCGCAGGTCCACAGTCACACCCCCTGGCCCCCGGCCCGCCCCCTCGCGTGACGCGCGGGGGACTCTGGCTCTCATGTTCCAGGGCCGGGGTACCGGGGTCGTCTCCGGGAAATCGGGGCCGCGCCATCCCAGAAATCACACCCCTGCGCGCAGACGGTCAAGGATTTTCTCACTCTAAAGCCCCGTGTTTTGCTCTCGCACTCTTCACTCATCAGAACACAGCTCTTTCCAAGCCTAGACTATTCATACTAGGCTTTCAAAGCCTGCAACATGCCTTTCTGACGCCCCAGGACCTTTAGTGTCTCGTCTGAAGATGCACACTTTCAAGGGCTTTGGAAGGTTTTCCCTTTCCCCACGTGTTCTTCCTGGCCTTGGTGACACCCCTAGTTTATTCTTGTTTCTGTGTGCCCACGTTTGGGGCCACGAGTCAGAAATTGATGTGAGCTTGTTTGGCTCCTGCTTCTTTGTATTTCATACTTGACCAAAAGTTGTGAACAACATTGTACACAAGACCGCCTTGAAAGTCACCTAAGCTGTAGTTTGTGAGGTGTTTGATGGGAGATGACAAGAGGGGTTAGAACTAGCCTCACCTTGGTTGTATGACCCATCAAACATCTAGGGCAGCGGCAGCTACGTTTTCTAGCCTTACAGCATCAGGGATTCTATGCGGATCTTGTCACGTATCTGCAAAGAAAGGCTGTTTCTCTCGTGGTTCCTTTATAGAGCAGACTAATCTTGGAAAGTTTAAAGAATTGTTTGTAAACTTCTGAAATAAAGAGCAATTTTTAAAATCATATGCAAAGTGCATATCTTTAAATTTAAGAATAGGTTTGACATCTGCATTAAGATTTGTACTGTATCACTGTTCCCTGACCTTCATGCTTTTAAACTTGTTTAATACAAAGTTATTACCTTCCTAATTCTCTTCTAAATTGTCAGTCATGCCTGCTCTGTTCTCAACACTGGATGGACATCAGAATCCCTGAAGTGATAAGTTACTGCCGTGACCCTTGAAGAGGTTGTAGTCTAGTTCACAAGAACAGTTTTAGAATAGTGCGAGTGGGTGCAGTGAAGAAGTTATGCTTACAAGTTGGGGTACACACAAGCAGTAAATGAGGGAGAGAGAAAGCATGCCCTGAAAAGTGAATTGAGTATTATACATGCATGAGTGTATGGTGTTAATTTAGTACCTAGTTCGTATTCCAGCTCTCATTTTTACATAAGGTCCAAGTAGATGCCTACAATACTAATTTCACTTTGGTGGGATTTTTTCTTTATTTGTTTTTTTTTTAAAAAAAAAAACAACACCCCAGCGTTACTTAGTTACAAACAACATAAAATTTGCCATTGTTTCTGTACAAGTCTGTGATTTTTAGTTAAAGTATAGAGTTATATAACCATTACTACTTCTGTCCTGTTTTAGAACATTTCCATCTCTCCACGTGGTTCATTTAAAGTAAATCCCCACCTCCACCCCCTGCCTTAGGCAAGCACTGATGTGTTTCTTGACTATAAATAATTTGTCTTCTTTGGATATTTTATATAAATGGAATCATACAATACATAGTCTTTTGAATTTGGCATCTTTCACTTACGTTTTTGAAACTCATCCAGGTTGTGGCATGTATTAGTAAGTACTTCATTTCTTTTTGTTATTGAATAGAATTTTGTTGTATGGATAGACAGCATTTTGTTTATCCATTCACTAGGTCATGGACATTTGAATTATTCCCAGTTTGGTTGGATGACACTTCACAGCCCTTTGCAGAATCAGAATTTAATTATTGGAAATGCTGTTATAAGCAGGTTTTTCATATACAAGGTTATTATGTACACATTTTTATTTGGACAAATGTTTTAATTTCTCTAGGATACCCAGGAATGGAATTGTCAGTCATATAGTAACAATATTAAGCGCGCGCGCGTGTGTGTGTGTGTGTGTGTGTGTGTGTGTGTGATCGAATCCTACTGGCACAGGAGGAGACTGCCCATCCTCCAGCAGAGCTTCTGGTGGATTTGAACCATGAACCTTTGGGATTGCAGCACAGTTTCTTGTCACTAGGCCACCAGAGCTCCCCAGTGTTTAGCATTTTGAGAAACTCCCAAATGTTTTAAAGCAAGGATAATCCTGGAGACACCAGTACTTATAGCTGGTGTTTGAAGTGAGGGCAATTTTCTAGAGGCTGTTTCTTTGCAGACTTTGCAACTTGACAGACTCCATGGCACCTATCTAAACTCGTAAGCATAATAATAAAAGGACCAATATATTGGAAAGATATTGAAATTAAAAATTATTAATGGCATTACCAACAATGTTTAGGCTCCAGTATCTATTGCTACAACTTTGCCGACATTTGCTATTTTGTTGTTGTTTTTATTGTCATTCTAGTGGGTATGTCAGAAGTTTTGGTAGCTTTGTTGTTGTTATGTGCCGTCGAGTTGCTTGTGACTCATAGCGACCCTATATACAACTGCCCTAAACTCGGCTCTGTCCTGTGCCAGTCGCACTGTCTCTGACACTCCCACCCCGATTACCCCAGTCACTGAATCAATCCACCTCATAGAGGGCCTTCCCCTCCTGCGCTGTCCCTCCACCCTCCCAAGCATGATGTCCTTCTCCAAGGACTGGTCTCTCCTTACAACATGTCCAAAGTATGTTGGATGGAGCCTCAGAATCCTTGCTTCCAAGGAGCCACCTGGTTTAACCCTTTCCAGGATGAATCTGTTTGTTTTCCTAGCAGTCCATGGTACACTCAATACTCTTCTCCAGCACCACAGCTCAAAGGCATCAATTCTCCTTCTATCCTCCTTGGTCATTGTCCAACTCTCTGATGCATAACAAGTGATAGCAAAGACCATGGCCTGTATCAGACACACCTTAGTGTCCAGAGAGACACCATTGCTCTTCAGCTTAGTAGTAATAAATTGTACTGCCACTGCAAAACTATATCATTCTAATCTACCAGCTGCTCCATGGGAAAAAGATGAACGCTCTCTTCCCTTGTGATTTACTGCCTCTGAAAACCCACTTGGGGGTTAGCTATGAGTTGGTTCTGACTCAGTGGTACACAACAACAACAGTGGGTGTGTTGTGATAGCTCATTGTGGTTTTAATTTGCATCTTTTGAGAACAAAATTGGTGCTGAGCTTCTTTACATGTGCTTATTTCCCATTTGTATATCTTTTTGTGAAAAATGTATTCAGATCTTTTGCCTACTTTGTAATTGGGTTCTTCATATTTAATATTTCTGAGTAGTTATGAGTTCTTTCTATGTTTGGATGCAGGTATCTTTTCTGGTGTATGATTTGTAGATATTTTCTCCCAGGTTGTATCTTATCATTTCGTTTTCTAAATGATGCCTTTTGAAGGGCAAAATTTTAAATGTTAGTGAAATTCAATTTATAATTTATTTTCTCTTAAGGATTATGCTTTTGATATCTAAGAACTCAAACTTAACTCAAAATGTGATAGATTGCTTAATGTGGTTATTCTACCCATGCTTTTTTTAACTCCCACCAACTTTTTGTAGTTATTACTCAGTGCCATCGAGTCAACTATGACTCATAGTGGCCCTGTGTACAACAGGAAACGCTGTATCATCTTCACATTTCTGCTGAGTTTAAGCCCATAATTCATTCTCTGTGTTGATCTGCCTTAGAGAGCCTCCCTCTCTTTCACTGCTGTTTTTCCAAGCATTATATCCAGGGACTGAGCCCAAAGTATGTGAGCCAAATCTCCCCATCTTTTCCTTTAAGGCAGTACTTTTTCTAAGATAGGTTTGATTGTTCTTTTGGCAGTCCATAGTATATTCAGTAATATCTGGGGACAACATAATTAAAAGGTATCAATTATGTGGTCTTTTTATTAATTGTCCAACTTTCACATGTATATGAAGCAATTGAGAATACCATGAGTTGGGTCAGGCACATCTTGATTTGTAAAGATACATTCTTACCCATTAGCATTTTAAAGAAATCTTAAAGAGGAAAAAAAGCCACCAAAAAAACCCAACCCAACCCCAGTAAACTCCACCTCATTGCCATTGAGTCAAAACCAACTCCTAGACAACTCTCTCTTGGATTTCCAATGCCAGAAATTGCAAGAGAGAACAACACCCCTATATTTCTCAAGGAGCTGCTTGTGGATTTGAACTGCAAGAGAGGTGTAGTCTTTGGGTTAGTGTAACTCCTGCTGACTACACCACCCATGCTCCCTTTAAAGAGCTTGTTGTTAGATATCATTGGGTTGACTACAACTCATAATGACTCTGAGAACAGATCTGAACCTTGATCTGTATCTCTTGTTGAGGGTCTTTGTCTCTTTCTCTTACCTATCCAGCTTTCCCAGCACGATACCTTTTTCTAAGGACTGGGCCCTTCTGACAACATCCCCTAAGCATGTGAGACAAGGTTTAACCACAAAGGAGAAAAAGCCCAACTCATTGCCAATGAGTCTAAATCAACTCATAGCTGACCCTCCAGCCCATTTTCAGAGACTGTAAATCACATAGGAGAAGATTGACCATATTTCTCTTATGAAACAACTGGTGGATTTGAACCTCTTGCCTTTGGGTTGGCAGCACAACTCTTTACCCACTATGCCATCAGACTCCCTTCTAAGAAGATAGGAGTATACAAAGATAAGGTGTTTGTAGCCTACCAAAGGAACTGAATAGCTTGCTAGTGAAATAAATGAGATTTGTTTTTGTTGTTATTGTTGTTGTTGTTGTGTCCCATAGAGTTGTAACAGGTCCATAGCTGACCCTCTGGCAAGTTTTTCAGAGGCAGTAAATTGCATAAGAGGAGAATGCCCATCCTTCTCCCATTGAGCAACTGGTGGATTCGTACCACTTGCCTTTGGGACTGCAAGGCAGTTTCTTACTACTAGACCAC